CGACGCATGTGGCTCTGAATAATAAGGGAGAAAGAGAAGCAGAGGGGGAAATCATGTCTGACTTATAGTATGTGCCAAGGGCGATAGAGAGAACAAGAGAATGTGTGGGGGGCAAAGAGGGCAGGATGTAAAGGGGGAGGAAGGAAGTGGAAAATAGACAATGAATATAATGAGGAACGGGGAGAGGAATTAGATTAGAAGAATGGCACGGAAGAAAGTACAGAAAAGATATAAGAACATGGAGTTGAAAATGGAGCGAAGGGAAGAAAGGTAACTGAAATCAGGTATTGTAGAGAGGATGAAAAGCTTAGAAGAGCGCAGAGGTTAGATTGTAGAGATGCAAATTCTGTTTGAGGAGACAAAAAGAGCAAAGAAGAGTTAAAGGAAGTGGAGAGGATATGACCAATTCTTCGAGGGGATTGTTAAATAAAAAAAATGATTTTTTATCTCTTTGAAAGCCCTCTATCTAGAGAATGGGGCTCTCTGAGAGGATGATGGGAGTTTTCTGTGCTTCAGTTATGCTTAAATTCTTTTCCTTTTGTTGTATGCAACAATGGTTATCAGGCTAAGCTGTGCTACACACACAAACACACACACACACACAGTCAGAACCTGAACTGACACATGATATTATCAAATGGCATGGCCACACACCCACACAGTGTCCTAATTAAGAGCACACGCAGCAGCACAACGTAAGCGTGCCTCATTCAGCTGTGGCAATCGCTGTTTATTAGCATTTGCACTTTCCAGGCTCCTAATGATGGTGTTTTCAAGCAGTTCCCTCTGCTGAACTGACAAGCGTGCAGAGTGCCCACTCTCTTCAGAGATTGGTAAAAATACACGCACAAATAAAGAGCCACACGTACATTAAAAGGGATTCCTTATTAGCCCAACCTTAATGAGAAAATGTAATTACTTACTACAAGCATTTGTAGTATAGTATGTTCACACCAACATCCCTGGCGTAGATGAAATGGCAATATACATTATATGGCCAAAAGTATGTGGACACGATTGTTCACAAGCCGTCCACACCAGGAACAATAACTGTATGTTGTTTTTAACAATGGTTCTAACTGAAGTGGATGGCCACACTGCTGTAACGTCAAAGAGAGGCGAACAATCAGAGATTTGATGAATGATATTGTGGTATACAATTTATTACTGTAAACGCTTGGCTGAATTTGACCAGGACCCTAATTCAGCACAAAGACATTTCAGTGCTGTTTTCTCAGCCTTAACTGGAAGCGATGCAACAAGCCAACATCAGATTGTGTTTCAGTTTTTCCCAATGAAGAGTTCCTGGTTCTATTTTTGCGAAGCCTCACGCACTTGATCCACTTCAAACCTGCTAAAGCAAAGTGCTAAAGCGAAGAACTGGATACAGTGCAGAGCTGCTGCGAGTTACAAGTAAGTAAACTGTCAACTATACAGACACAACTATATAGAAACAAGGCTGGCAAAAGGTTGCTGCTGCGGCATCGCTTGTAGTTTATCCATCCGCTACAGTGCTCGCCTGCTTCCTGCAAGCAGTATTCTTAAAATGTATGATGCCAAAGCTGCAAAAAGCTGTAGCATCAAATGTGGCTAAAACAATATATGGCCACAACTACGTGGCAACTCCTGCACATAACTTTGTACTTTTGGTCTGGGTCTGTTTTTCCTAGTTTAGAAAAGGGAAATTGGTTTATGTGGAGAAGAACTTGACTGGCCTGCACAGAGTCCTGACCTCAACCCCAAACAAACACCTTTGGGCTGAACTAGGACACCGACTGTGAGCCAGACCTGATCAGCAGCATCAGTGTTGGATCTCACTGATGCTCTAGTAGGAGAATGGGAGCAAATCCCTGCAGACAGTTAGAAAAGCTGGTGAAAAGCCTGAATCCAGAAGAGTGGTGACTGTTTTAGCAACAACAACAGACTTTTGTGAGCTTCATAACTGGAGTTATGTGGTGGAGTAGTTTACATGTTGCAATTTGTAAGTTGTTTTTGATCTAACAGTCCTTTCTTTCATCTACCTCTACTTCAGGTACTGGTTTCCTACATTTCCAAGGATGCCGGCCACTCAGAAAACAGGCATAAACTTGTTAGATTCAGCTCTTGGCTCCATGTGTAGGTGGAGAGTGCAACAGTGATAAAGATAGTAAGAGCAAGAGAGCGAGTTTTTTCCACTCGAAAACAAGTGAGAGTCCACAGCATGTCTAGTGGCTGCTTGTTGTTCTGCTGCTGAGGCTACTGTCAGCAGAAGAACTGCTGTTTGTCTCTTTTACAACAGATTTCTCCCTGTATGTTTGCTCAAAGCTAGAACAAAATGTTGGCCGCAGAAAGCATCCTTTGGTCTGTATTCATTCTGAAAACTGAGGCAGTTAACCATTTCCTGCTACTGTTGTAAGCTGATGAACAAATATTCTGCTTTTTCACATAGATATTCTATTCTATTGTGTACATTCTGGTATTGTTATGCCAAATTCAGGTGTCCAAATCAATGATTTCAAGCACAGTGTTTTAGTCAAGTCCTTGTTTTACATGCCTGAAGTGATTGTCTGTTTTGCATAAGTATTGCATTGAGCAGTTATTTTGCATGCATTTGCATTATTGAGACATTCAGATGGCTGACTAACAAAAGCAAAAACAAAGTGCATCTTAGTTGTTGGGCCACCGTGAGCCTCCAGAACCGCTTTATAGTGCTCCATGTCTCTGAACTCGACTGGAGGGATGGACACCATCTTCATAAAACACATTCCCTCATTTGGTGTCTCCATGATGTCGGCGGAGAGCGCTCTCTCCCATAGATGTTCAGTTATTTTGAGATCTGGTGACTGTGAAGGCCACAGCATATGATTCACATCACTTTCATAGTCATCAAACAATTCAGTGACCCTTTGAGCCCTGTATAGAAGCAGTTGCAGTTCTCCACTCAATTAATACACTTACTAGCATACTAGCATGTTTTCAAGTTAAGTGTTGTGCATGTAAACATGCAGTTTTTGAGAAACCTGCATGCTACAACAAGTTCTCGAGAGTGGCATGAAAATACCTTATCCAGGTTTCTGATCATCCCCTGTGTGAACAAACACAGCACCTCATTTTTTCTATGAGACCAGTCCAAGGACATAGCGGGGGTGCCAACACCGAAGGCTCCAGCAGGGCCAAACCTGCTCAGCTGCCATCCAGCAAGACTCTGCGGTGGCCAATCAAATACATGCAAGTGCACATTCCTGGTTACTTTGCTATGTGAATGCTGTGTTACTACAGTTTGCTTGGTCAAGGCAAAATAAAATCATTCCAGACATGTAAAACTCGCTTTGTTCAGTGTTTTAGCATCTGATAAGCCTTCAAAGGCAATGATGTTTTACTCAAACTGGACTTCCTGGATCATATTTCATGTTTTACCAGTACCTTAAGCAATGCAGCCATACATTTTATTAACACCAACAAACAGATTTGTTGTGTCTGGGAGTCAAGGGAATGTCTGTACTACTGCAAACTATCAAAAACCTGCGTAAATACTGTTATCATTATCAATACAGAGATATTAACAACATTTGTCAAGTTCCATGTAAATGTCATGTCCCAAACATGCTCAAAACCTGGAAAAGCTTAAAAACCGGGACACTGGTGTGCATGTGAATCATTTATCTAAGTTTTTCTGCTAATCTGTCGCCCATCTGTACCATCAAACCATAAAACAGCACCAAACATCATCAGAAATATCTTTAATCTTCCTCTAAATCCACAATGTAAGTGAAGTTGAAGAGTTGGACGAAGTTCCAAAGTGAAACATCACACAGAGAGAAATAAAGCTGCACGTAACATCCATCCATCAGCTGGAGCCAATCCCAGCAGACACTGGGGTAGGGCGGGGTTAATTCTGTACGGATCACACACTGACAGAAACATACAACCAGTTTAGAGTCACCAATTTAACCTGCATGTCTCTGGACTGTGGGAGGACCTGGAGCACCCGGAGAGCAGCAGGGAGAACAAAGAGACAGGACCCAAACGACGGGCAGGTCAGAACCCAGAACCATCTTGCCTTGAGGCAACAGTGCAAACATCAATATGGAGACGTAAGCCAAATCCAGGCCACGGCTAAACATTCAAACTCTGACTAACACCCTGACGTGATCTCCATTTGGCCCGGGCTCACTCCCTTTATGAAGCGCTCCAACTAATGAAGCGCTCCACTGGAGTGGCTGTGGAGGACAGTCGAGGACCCTGTGGGACTGCCTTTCATAAACGCCTGCCTGAATAAGGCTCTTTTGTAACTCAGGCGTAGGTTATGAGTCAATCATTCCAGCTAGGCAGCTCTTAGAGCTGCTGGGGCTTTTTCCCTGCGATGGATGTGCTGCTGAAGCGTACACACTTCAACCATTACCAACACAAACATACACACACATAAGCATACACGGTACACCAGCTCATGTAATTACACACACACAAACATAGTGCTTCCTGTATGCATCACTTTTGTATGTGCTACAGGTCTGAAATAGCATGAAATGACTAATCTATTGGTTGATAATAATAGCATTATTGAGGAAAACCTTCCTACAAGCTCTCCTTTATAAAAACTCTTTCAGAACAAGTTAGATAAACTCAAAACTGCAACCCGAGCTGTTTTTCAGTGTTCCTCAAAGTTGGCGTAATGCAGATAACACGCTCTTTAAAATGTGCAAACACAGCCGCTCAAGGACAAGAAGCTAAATGACCAAACAGACACCATCCACGGTTTGATGCTCTCTTCTGGTTCTCCTCTAGATACCTTTTTAACTGCAACAAATCTAATATTGGCCAGAAAGACATTTGCAATCCCTGGTGGAAACTGACCTTGACCATTTTGCACTGTTGCCATGGTAACAAATGAGTCGAAGAAAATGTGCTGCTACTAAAAATGTTTTCCCAACGCTGAACGCTGAAATCGATCATCTGTAAATCGCTTATACATGCAAACGGCAGTGAGGAAGAGTGTTGTGTTTTTGTTTTTTTTACTCTACCTGAAATGGACTCTGGCTGTTGTAGTTCTTCACTTCCTTGTCAGCTCCACGAACAAGCAGCACTCTGGCACAGTTATCCTGGGGGAAGAAAGAGAAACAAATATCACAATAAAGCTCAGAAAGGGTCTGAAAACAACACTGAAATCCTTTAATCTTCCTACTTTTTTAAGGAAAAAGGCTGATAAGCTTCCTGTGACATTAGCAGAATTTCCCAAAAGAAGTCAGCGGAGCAGGAACTGATCAGTGTGGCTGAATGTCTAAACATCCCAGCACTGACACAGGGAAAAGAGGAAAGAACAACAGAACATCTACTACCTATATGAGGAATGGAGCTTCACTCGCTGTTAAGTGTGTATCTATTGCTCCACTCAAAGAGAAAGAGGGAGTGAGAGCGAGAGAGATAGATAGAGAGACAGAGAGAGAGAGAGAAGAACAGAGAGATGGAGAGTGCTGAGGGGTTTGAATCTACTGCACAAATCGCCCACAAAGTGCTCAACCACGCATGTACTGTGCACACACACATGAATATAAATACTTTTTTTAGATCCACAATAAGCTATTGAGAGTTGGAAAATCGCTCACACAGCTACTGATACACAACCATAATCTGTGCAGTGTTTGGCTTTACAAATATTTCTGCCATTAGACATTTAGACATCTTATTTTAAGACATGCATGAGTGTGTTATTTTTACCCACGGACATTTCCATCTGGAGTGTAGCAATCCCACAACATTTCTCCTCTCTATAGAAGCTACATTTTACTGTATAATGAAGGTTTAAAATGGAAATGTGTGACATACATGAGAGCCATGAATTGAAGCAGAGGCATTTTTAGCTTTTAGAATTAGAAGCAGGTCACACAAAGCAGATGTAAGTACTAGAGAGAAAATGTGTGAAAGGTCAGATCTCTGCTGTGCATGATGCTCAGGGTAATCCAGCTGCATCTCGGACGCCATGGAGACTTCAGCCTCAAATGGGTTTCTCTTGTGCACTTCATGTCATGTTAGTGAGTGTGGATCACCGACGGAGAAGATGACAGAGGAGGAGGAGCATTCTCACATATTCTCCACAGAAGTTTTTAGTTTTCTGTGTTTTTATGCACTGGAATCTTCTCAGAGTACTCCATCTATCAAGGAGGAACGAGAACTCATGCATATTTATGACGTACAGTATAACAAGATAATAACTGAATAATCCAGGTTACATCAACCCCCTCTGTTTCACAGATGCAGCCATCATTATTGTCTTCAATGCTTCAGCCCTGCAGCTTTAAACGATAAGACTGAGGATATTCGGTATTTTTATTATCATTATCAACAAATCCCCTGAAAAGACCAAAACCAACAATGAATTGATCCTACAAGTATTGTATATGTATCCAGAGCCTGATATATCTTATTCCCCTGTGCCATAGAGCCCCGTAGAAAAACGACTGAACCCTGTTACCATCCACTGACTAGCCTTCCTGTGGTTCCTCATGACTTGAATTATGGCTTTTGGAATGATTTCAATTTTGAGGATAACGCTTGTGATATTCTATCTTGTTCTTCTTGGCAACAAATCCAGTATTGTGTGTGTACCCAAAGGCTGATGTATCTTCTTCCTCTGTGCCACAGAGCTCCACTGCTGTCCAAAAACTATTGAAAACACATCAGTGAGCCACATTGTTGCACTGGGTGACACGTTCCTTCATTACACACACACACACTGTAGTTTATTTTAACTCAATCCCACATACACGTAACCTCGTATGGCAGCTGAGATCACACCAGAAAACATCTCGCTGTGTCCAACCACGGTGGTTCGGACCAATACATTTGTGAGCAGTTTTTAAAGATTTATATGTTCAGTGCCATAGATAACCATAACCTGACTGCGCCCATGTAGGAAGTCGTCGTAAACTGATGGAAGAGGGAAGGCACTGTTACAGACGCCAGTCTTCAGTGCTGTTCTTCGATCTTCTTTCAATGAAGAAGTACTCTCCACTTCTGATATAACTGATGCTAGCAGCAGCTACGCTAACCTCTTTATCAACCGCCATTGTTGTTTTGAACAGTCAGTCAATTCTCACCCATTGCTCACGCTGAAAGCACGCCGATTGGTCCGAACCACTGTGGTTGACAACACTTTGTGTCTCTTCATGGGATTTATTGACAGTAAGAAAAATATACAATACTGGCAGCCTTATCCTTTAAGAATTGATTTCCACGGCTCCATACACTGACACAGACGCAGCCTTTCACACTTAGGACCTTTTCCACAATATTTTAGGTAACCAACAAACGGAAGCTGATGTAAAGGCCATTTCAGAAAAGGTCAAAATCACATGGTTCCTCTTCTGTGGAAACAACTTCCTTAAGTGGAACTAAACGTTTTCTTTGATTAGAACACACCAGTGGGCTTTTTTTTTTTTATTCCAAGCTGTAGCTCGCTGCTTAACTGGCCACGCTCCAAAAGGCAATGTGTTTAATGGTCCCAGAGGACCGGCTGTACAAACAAGGGTTAGCGGCTTCTGACCTTTAACTAGAGGCTATTCTGATCGGTTTAAGTGAAGTTGGTCTTTGAGATGGTTCATCTGTTCTGTGCATATTCAGTTGTCTGGAGTTATTCAATATTTTCTTATTGTCAGTTAATCCCATGAAAACCAATCTCTAAATACTTTTTCACTTCCCTACCCCGCCTGTGGCTCTCAGCTCCAAGCCCATTGGTTCTTACCGAGGACATAAATCTTTAAATATATAGTTTCCTTTTAAAAAAAGGCTCGGTAATTTCCTAAAACAGCTGCCCACTTTAGTTTTTAGCAAATGTGACTCAAACAAGAGGGAAGAGTGCATTTGTTGGGGACCATTTTCAGCGGTGGATTAATACACATTTGGTGCTTTAGTGATTATTCGGGGCAGCAGGACGGTGTATGTGGGATGAAGTCAAAATAAACTACAGTGTCTGTGTTCATGGTAATGAAGGAACAGGTCACCCATTGCCAGAGATGGGAAGTAACGTTCAGAGTACAAATACTTTACTGTAGTAGTACTAGTTTTTTCAGGTACTTTACTTAAGTATTTATTTTTCTGACTAAATTTTTGCACAAATATCAGTACTTTCTACTCTCTTTGTTTTCAAAATAGTCTTACTACTTTAGTTTTAAAACATTTGAGAGGAATTATATTCTATTTTTTTGCATCATTGCACGGCTTCCTAACATCAAGACCGGCGCATATTATGCATGACAGACGTAACAGACAAGAGAGGGCGACTCGACCTTGTTTGAAGTTTCAAACTTTGCGCAGAAACACCTGGTAGAATTGTCCCTCAGAGAAACAAAGAGGATTTCTACTTTTATACACTGAGTACATTTCAGAGCCTGTCCTTTTTGAATTTTACTTGAATAATTAAGTTGAATCAGTACTTGTGTGTACCTTTGCCACCTCTGCCAAATTCCAACAGTGTGGTTCATTGATGTGACATGGGATACACAGAAAATGTTATTGTCATAAATTCACTGTTGGTCTGGGTCTGCACATGAGATTTATTGACAATGAGAAAAATAAAGAATATAGCCAGCTTTACATTTGAACTAAATTAATTTAAAATAAATAAATGCATAAATAAAAGAATGATAAATTCCAATCATGTGGAACCACATGGACCCCAAGATGGCTATGTGGTGGAAGCTAATGGGGCTTCTAAAAACAATAAATGCCAGGTTTAGATAACAAGAAAAAATGTAACATAAATTCACGTATTTTAAAAGTTAACCATATTTACCATGTTTACTTTCTACATCAAAATCAGAGAGTAACTATTACTTGAAGCTCTGTCAGGAAAAGGTTCACATAGTTTATCTATTAACTGCAATTAGAGGTAGACGGTGACTTGTTGGTGTGGTTATACTTCTGGGGATTATCCAAGCAGCAGGAGAGCCAGCGGTAGAGCGTCATATACATGAGCATGATAAATAACATGCAAGGAGAATTTAAAATAATTCATCCCATGGGAAAAAGGAACAAAGACCCTGCAGGGTGCGAACAAACAGAGCAGAACTGAAGGAGGTGGAGTCAGCAGGAGGAACAGCAGCAAACAGACGTCAGCATACTGAGCGAAGGTGAGCGGCTCTGTGATACCTAACAGGCGGTTATTGCTTACGTTTGTCCTTAAAGGTGTTCTGGATTTACAAAGCATTTTTAGAGCGTGGGACTTCTTTATTACATTCAGAAACTGCTACTACTCAGAGACTACGAATTGGCTCTTCTTCAGAAGACTCAACTGAATGATCATAGGATTATAATATAAATATTATAGGAATACTACAGGCAGCAGTGTGTCTCTAGAATGATCTCACTCTTCTGGGACTACATGTTGCTGCTTGTCACTTTGATCATGAGGGTGAAATTACTCTATAGAGCAGCAGTTCTCAAACTGGGGGTCGGCGAGGATTCACAGGGGGTCACAAGGCCTTCTTGATTTTAAGGCATGTAGGAAAAACTTTACACACAGTAGGCCAATACGTAATCGTCATACATTATAAAAGTGCACAGTTATAACAACCAAAGAGCTGAAAAACATGTGCCAGGAAATAAAACTTTTAAAACATACATTTAGAGGACAGTCAACCACCTGGAAAAGAAATCAAATGTAAATTTCAGACAGCTCAGAAAATGATAATGTTTGAAAGCTGATAATATTTAAATCAACCTAAAAAAGGGTTTTGAATGAACTTGAACGACTGTGACGTAATCAATTTCCCCCAAGGGATCAATAAAGTAATTCTCATTCTGATTGATGAGTAAATGGTTTCATTTTAAAATGTATTTTTACTTGCTGCTTTATGTATTACGATGGATCTATGGGTTCCATTATGCATCGTATTTCTATTTCTGTTTATGTTTTTGTTAACAATTCTGGAACTGTTGCTTTGAAAAGTGCTGTATACATGAAGATGATCAGTTATTATAATGGTAAATAGTTTATTATTCATTAGAATTTAATCTCAATGTTCACAATGTGCATGTTATACTCTCCTGTACAGGCTATGTACACAAACAGTATGTTGCTCCACATTTCTCCCACTCTTTACCACAGATTTGACAGAACTGGCTTAACTAACTTAAAATAGTACGAGGTCAATCCAATAGTGGTATGTGCTCTCATTCAAATTACACACACACAAACACACACATCTACAGAAACCCTTACCCCCCGCTCACCTGGTTGTATAGGGCACAGATGTGTAGAGCAGTGTTTCCCGAGGCGTTCTGGGCGCTCATGTCTGCTCCATAGAACAGCAGATGCTCCAGGTGTTGCACATGGCCGTGGCGGCAAGCCTGCACACACACACACACACACACACACACACACACACACACACACACACACACACACACACACACACACACACACACACACACACACACACACACACACACAGTAGTTCAATGTCATGTAAAGCCTTTAACACTTGCACTAGATAGTAGTTGCAGTAAGAGGCCTTTAACACTAGATGTCAGTGTGCTGCAGAGAAGAGCACATCCAAGGAGCAGCTGTACCCTCAGTTTGAACCCAGTCATCACAAACCGGGAGGATAGATGTGCAGACGGGAAGATTAAATAAATGAACAACTGCACAATTGAATTCACCTGGGCAGACTGTAAATTTAAACTATTACAAGCAGAGGCTGAGCAGGAAGTTATTGCTTTTATGAAACATTTTCTCTGTAAATGGCATTAACGTTAGCGGTTGTGGGGACAGACGCCAGTTAGCCGGTTGGAGGGGATTATTTTGAAATGGCCTATTTACACTGTAGCTCATTTGAGAAACTGAGAGGTTTGTAAAGGAAAGACAATAACCCAAACGACTACTTATCAACCAAAGCAGGTTACAGTAGAAACGTATTTCATCAGCAAGTGAGCAGTGGAACTGAGTGTGCTGCACAGGCAGGAAAAATATTAGTCTGAATGTGTTTTTATACAAATTCTGTATTTGTCTTAACTTTCAAGGTCTGTTTTTACTGCTGCATTAGTCTCACCACGACCACTGGAGATTATATATATTGACGTTTTAACAGACATTGCTGATGGATTTGTGGCCCTCACACATGTTGGAGACGAGCTAATGTGGTTCAGCAGCATTAAAAGGCGGGGTCGGTCATTCTGAAGAAAGACTCCCTGAGAATGATGAACGACATTCCCATCAGCCTCAGCTGTACTTTGAGCTTAGTAAAATATAGAGTCACATGGTGTCTCTCTCCCTCTGCCTGTGTTGTATCGTAGCCTCTCTGTGGTTTGTTTCCATAGCCGGTCTGCTCCGACTGAAACTGCTGTTTGTATCATCTACGTTGGTGAATTAAGGATTTATTTCCACCAAACCAGAGTTTTTTGTATGGAGTCTGGTGGAAAGTGATAGTGATATTAAACTAAAGGTCTATCTCTGTAGGGATCCTTTTCATAATGTCAGACACTGAGAATAACAATCTGAGTCTGTCAGTGGCAGAAATGTTAGTGGATGCAATTTGATGGGCACATTTGTCCCCAAGGATAGCTCGTTTAGTGGCTATTTTCTCTACCTAACAAAGACGGTTTTGGTAAGTTTTATTTTGTTTGTGTCCAGTTGGAAGTGTGTTTTACAATTATCTGCAAGATGAAATGACTGATTTTTTCAATGGAGTCTGGTCGGCCGTGGCGCCCGTCATTTTGGTCATGGTTTTGGTGCTCTAGTGAGACATCTAGTGACAAATGAACTTATATAACCTTTTACACTGCTGATGAATAATGTTGTAGTTTCATTAACAAATTGTTTCAGCGCTTGATCAAATCATTAATTTTTGATGCTGAAATCCAGTCTGTAATATGCAGCATCCTTAGAGGTGGTGGTACAATAAATCAAACTGATTTCATCCAGAAGATCTGGAATAACAGAGAATGAGGATTAAACAGTCCAACAAGAGCTTTTTAATTATATCATGAGTTTGAATATTTCTATGATTCTTATATTAGGTATAGAGGGTTTTATTTCAATGTTATTAGTGTTTGGCTGAGAAGGATGCGATCACTGACATTTTCCAGGATTTTATGAATGAACAAACACAACCTTGAACTCTGAACTAGCAGCATCCATTCTGCTGCTCACCGTCCGGCCTGACAGCTGATTGTTATCACGTCTGAAACGGGACAGATTGGGGAAGGCAGCAACTTGACTGGGAGGGAGATATAAGCAATCTGATAAAGCCTGAACGCACACGTATGCACGCACATACACACAACAGCACGCGGGGACACTCATAGTTTGTCACCGCTGCAGGGTGGCTCTCCTTAAACGCCTTTATCTACTTGGATGGGTAACAGCTGCCAAGCCAGTCGCCCACAGCCGGCTGGGGAAGGCAGCGTGTGTCTGTGTGTGCTTCAGTAATGCTTTCCCAATACAAGCTGTTGCACATAACAAACAGAACAAAAACCCCTCTGTGCTCATGTGTGTGCACCTGCTGAATGTGGCAGCGTGTGTTTACCTGGTGAACTTCGTGCCAGCCGTTCTCGTCCTGGCAGCAGACGAAGGCATGGTGGTTCAGCAGGAGCTCACAGCAGCCCGGGTCTCCTCCCACCACCACACTGTGATACAGAGGAGTCAGACCACGGCTGTCCTTGTAGTCTGGGGAAGCTCCCAACTCCAGCATTGTCTGCAGCGGGACAGGTGTGTGTGTGTACAGACAGGGGATGTATGGATAAAAAAGCAAGGTGGGTTATCAAGTTTGTAGCTATTCTTAATTCAGATTCACAAATTTTGGTAAAATTCTCTTTAATTGAAGATTTTTCATAATAATCATCATTATCATAATAATAAACTTTATTTCTTCTTTTAGTTCTTTTTTAAAAACTAATTTTACAAAGATTTAATCTGTCACAAAAGACAAAGTACAACTGATTAAAATATCAAAAAAAGTTTAGAGTGATAATTGAAGATAAAAATGTAATTGTACGTTCATAAAAGTGCACTGTAAGATAGATTTAAAAGATAAAACAGATTTTGCTCGTTTTATCTGCTCGGGAAGAACAGACAGCTAAGGCCTCCTCTCTAGCCTTCACTTTCCTACAACAGTCAGAGCCATCGCGCCTTTATCATCTCATCGTGCTGTCAAGTGACAGGTCTGCATGCATCAAAATCTGATGCTGCTTAAGTTGCAAAAAGATCGGCGAGCTGGATCTGCAGAACTGCCAGGCTTGCACTGCGGCAGAGCACATGTAAGCAGGCGTGAGAACGGAGGAGAGCGGGTTCCCTTACCGTGAGCGTGACCAGGTTCTTGGACCGGGCAGCCTTGTGGAGGGCCGTCATGCCGTCTTTGGCTCTGAAGTCCAGGTGAGCTCCTCCATTCTTCAGTACCTTGATAATCTCCACCACATTGTCCAGGTGGGCTGCAAACGTCAGCGGGCTCTCTGGAGGCAGAAGTCACAGAATATGTGTGTGAATGTAATCTGTAGTGCAGGTAAAGAACCAGATTAAAACATAACATAGCAAACCACCGGCACTCCCAGCTAAATATCATTTAGACTATTGAGAATGAACTTGTTTCAGCCCTGAGCCATCATCAGTGCAATGAATTCAGCAGAAATGGCCATTTATTGACAGGAGAGCTTCAAAACACAATCAGCTAACAGTGTAATTGCCTGATCCAACACATCTGTGAATGAACCACCCATAAGGAGCCTCTCCTAATGAAGGAGGTGTGACCATAAATAACACTGAGCTGTGTTGGTATGACTGCCCAATCTTGGAAACACATAGCAACAGAAAGAGCTATACAGTCCAGATCAAGCAGCCTGCATGAAGATATAAACAGGATAAAAAATATTGAGAAAAACCTTCATAAATCAATCATAAATTACATAGTATACGCTCTCTCTTGTGGAAAAATAGAACAAAACTGTACAAAATGCACTGCTATATATAAAATAAGGGCTGAAACTACCAGAAGTGCACAAATCCTTAACTCAAGTGGAATTACTGATTCAACTTCTTTCCTCAAGTAAAAGAAAGAAAGTAAAGCTATTGAAATGTAATCAAAGTATTAAAGTAAAAAGTACTCTCTTGTTTGTAATTCCTCTCAAATTTAATGAGACTGTTTTTAAAATGTAAGGAGCAGAACGTCCAGATATTTGAGTAAAAATGTTGGGAGTAAAAGTAAAAAGTTGTCAGAAACACCAATAGGATTGGTCTATACTGGGGTCAAATAACATCAGTGAATATTAAAGAGCTACCAGACCCTGTAGTCCAGGAAGTTTGAATATTCATTAGAGGATAAATACCGAATCCATCTGCAGACTGTACAAACAGAATCCAAATATAACAAATACTATTATTTCAATGAGAGCTAGAGGACCTCTAACCTAAAGCTTCAAACCATTTAACACCATGACAGTCAGACATACCGGATCATGGAGTTATACTGTTTATATGATCAATCACACCTCTGTATTCTCAGTGAGTCCATCCAGCTCAACGCACCAAACTCAGATCAAACTATCAAACTAGGCAGTGCTGATCAGATATGGATCCAGATTCTGTTACTGTGTGGATCGTTTCTCTCCTCAAATCTGTTCACAAACATATTTTACTGTTTATCTGGAATACCAGATCGTGTGTGACCAGGCGAGCCGCCATTGTTTCCTGATACAGAGACTGTAGAAACAGAAAGCTCATAAACACACTACGACTAAAACAGAGATCAGAATTACTTCAGGTACCAGCAGTGTGGCACACGACTCCAGGGACTGACACTGAGGATGTGATGAAACACTTTGTTTTCTTTGGTACAAACCACCTGGGAAAGCCTGTCTGTATTTTTCTGTTTGCTTGGTTTAACTTCACACGGAACAATTACAGCTTTAGTCACATGACGCACAACCAGACAGAGCACCTGTAGGGTATTCAACCAGAAAACATCCCAAGGTAAGTATGCTTGTTTTACAGCTTACTGTCTGGAAACTCTAGATATATTAAAAGAATCAGCTAGGGCGATCCATTAATCTGTGAGCCATTTTCTCAATAAATGGATTAGTTGTTAAAATGTATTAAAATTCTGTTAAATGTTGATCACTGTCTCCCAGAGCCAATGGTGACATCCTCAAATGTCTTTTTCTGTCCACAACTCAAAGATATTCAGTTTACTGTCATAGAGAACTAAAGAAACCAGAAAATAGTCACATCTGAGATGCTGAAATCGGAATCTGAAAAATGACTCTTGCATTACTTTGCAGGCATTCAGAGCGGTACAGCCAGGCTAACCATCTGACAACAGCTACGTTTAGCTTACTTTACTGTCCATCAGGAAACTCTGTAAATTACAGTTGAGTTGAGGTGGAGCCTCCGGAGGGAAAACCAGAAAACATTTTCTCCTCAAGTATGATCCAGTTTCACCAAAATGAGACATAGTTGGTGGCGTGTCGTAAAGCGCACGAAAAGTGCCAAAAGTTACATAGTGGGAATAAAGTGAAAATGCATGAAATCATCTCAGTTCATTTCTGACAATTCTTTGCACCTATGCAAGTGGTGTGTTACAAGTATTTATACAGTGCCCAGTGGGAAGAGCAAAGGGACAGAGTCTATCCAGTCCAAGCTAATTGTCAGTTAAGGATGAAGTTTGTTCTTGGCTCACTCTGTCAAGCTGGATTTCCAAAACTGATTCCCAGCTGCATCGTGTATTTCATAAATAAGCTCTATTTCGAGGTTGTTTCCTGCAGTTGGCTTACATTACACTCCCACTTCTGACAAACAGCTCCACAGTTCATTTGAGGCAGGCCCGAGGTTCATTTTTAGTCTGTTCGCTGTGGTTAAGTGGTCGGCATTCAAGTCTGAATGTTACTGCGCTCACCTCCTAAACTGAGCTAAAGGTGCCTACTCCAGATTTCAAACAACCTGCTCCAAATAAAGCGTGAATGTGAATGAGGTTGGCCTCGAGACGAAGAGGTGGCCTGCCGAGCACGAATGATGTCTGATGAAGAATCACAGAAAAAGTAAGAAGAAGATTGAAGGTTTTCTTTTCAGTGCGTGTCGCTGTGCAGGTTGTTTTCTCCTTTGCACTGATGTGAACCAGGCTGATAAAAGCAGGTCAATTGTCTGTCACAACTAATTAGAGTATTAAAAACGTTGCTGTGATTAAGACGTCATTAGACATGTCAATCTAAATGAGGTCATCAAAACAAGCCACTCAGAGACAATTGATGTGTCCTAATTTCAGTATGCAGTATAAATACTATGCAGAAAGGTTTTACAGTCGTGTTCAAAAAACCTAAAAACTAGGGATGTTAAGATCCACATCAGTGCACAAATTAAAGTTTAAAATGTTTGCTTTGGATACAATTTGGGATGAAATCTGGGTGCATAGTTTCTAACATCTCTGCATCAGTAGAAAACAATTTATTTTTATATACTTATTAGCAGAGACCCTATGCTTTTATTATTTTAAAATGTATATAGTTATTTACATTCATTTAAGTTTATATCGATTCCTCCCTTTGAAACTATTTCGTAAGCTGTTTAAAGTCCAGTGTGTATCATTGAGGAGGATCTATAGTCAGAAATGTAATATAACATTCGTAGGTATATTTTCAGTAGTGTATAATCACTCATAAGAAAACTTCAAAAATATACACAGTAGGCTCACTTCTATGAAGAAATCTAAATGTAAAGTAAATTGTCTAACAGAACAATGGTCAAGTGTCAAGGACAAGAAAATACAGAATTTGTCAAAAAAAAAAAAGTCTGTATGATTGTAAATACAGAGAATTGTATAAAAAGTTCAAAACGGGAAATAATCTGTTCAAAATTCTTCCAAATCTCTTGTTTTACAGAAACTTCTTGCAGTTCACTGTTTGGGTTCATTGAACAGTTTGAATATAATACAAAATATCCATAAAATATGCCACTTCAGCAGAAGTCGTCAGTTTACTAAATGATAGAAAAGGGGTTGCATGCTCCCACCAGTGCTTGTGTGACATATTTGTATGTTTGTTCTTGAATTTCCCTCGGGTATCTATCTATCTATCTATCTATCTATCTATCTATCTATCTATCTATCTATCTATCTATCTATCTATCTGTTTGTGTACTGTCAATTTTTTTTGTCATCGTTTATATGTGAAAACCTCCTTGTGGATTTGGACAGAAAACAGAGCACAGTGCAGTCGAACAGGGATTAAACTGAACATTTAATGAAGGAGAAGTTTGTGATACATCAGCCATGGTCATTCCTTACACTGTAAAAGTACGACTGGTGGCGAGCGGCTTCCTCTGAAGGGACGAAAATGAGCCTTGATTTCTCCGACTGTGAGCAGACAAGAGCAGCGGGAAGAAGAGGAGTGTTTGTGGTTCCTTTTGTTAATCACATGGAGAGCCTTTGCTGGACAGCTGAAATCAATAGCTAGTAATAGCTGAGTAACAAGAGTCCTAATCCGCAGAGACGCCTCTCCCCATCAGCAATAAGGTGTTCATTTAACAATAGCTCTCAAAGCCCATTAAGACAATCTCAATTCTCTGCTTAATAACCCTTTCTCCTCTCAGCTCCACCTTTATTTGCCTCAATAGACCCATTTTCTTTCCTGGCCAATCTCTCCACCCAATACTGGCTGTGTTAAGAGCACCTGAACTGCTGAGATACCCTTGACATATTCATTAAACGGTCATAAATAAACATAATTGTAAGCCTTAATACCCAGGTAAACCAGCACTGCTTAAATGATTGTAATGAGCTTTTAAATACAGCCGGCTTTAGATAATTGCTAACAGTTATTTTGAAATCCTGTAAGCAAGAAAAACACTGAACCACTCCAGAAAGGATTATTTCTTTTGTTTTGTTCTTCAGATTAAACAGCAAGGTTTCCTTTCTCACAGAGTGCTCTTCATAAGTCCTCACTGGCTGATTTTAGTCCCCATGTGTCAGTGCGAGTAAACCTTGTGTGGTTCTCAGTGCCTCCAGAAGCACAGCTCTTAACCCGACTCCCTACTCATCCTCCTGCAGTGTTTTAACTACAATCCCTGGAGAGTTTCCTGTCAATCCTATGGATCGCTGACTCCCGTTCCCATTGTTCCAAAAGCCAATATGACTGATAAGAGGGTCCTGGACGGGTGAGCAGGCAGTGATACTCCAGTCAAATACTGTCTCTTAAGGTATTAAACGATCACCAACTGTAGGCTTTAAAGATGGGTTTAAAAAGTTTATAGCTTTCTCCCTTACAGATAGTGGTGATTGTATTGAATTCATGGCCGTTACAATGGATGTCAGTGTTGACCCAGTTGAAAAACATCTAAAGAAACCTCTCCAACCACTCCTGTAGCATAATCCACATCCACAATCGTCCATCTGTGGACATTTAAGTTTCAAACCCTCTGTGAAAAGTAGTCTAAATAGACTGCTGTATTAAAGAGCAGTGTTTGTCAA